CCCCGCCCTCACCCCCACTCCCACCCCCACTACCACTAAGCAGCTGCAGGGGGGAGAATCTGTTAAGTTTCAGGACAGTTTTCTGCTTGATTAATCAATTTTATCAATTTACCCATCAGTTTTGTCAATTTAGACTTTTCTAAAATAAATCTTCCCTTTCACCCTAAAGCCGAAAGTCTAATTCCTCCCACGGAAATGGACCTGGTCAGCATCTCCTTACCAAACATGGCCTCTTCGGTGCCAGGCAACTCAGGGTGGGACAAGATGCTGCCGTCCTTCACAGCCGACAAAGTACTCAAGCACTTCCCATAAAGGCTGTGAATTTTTGATACCGAAAAGGTGCTAAACTGGCTCTGGCAAAACAACAGGTACTTCTGCCAAAGGGCCGTATTGTTGGGATGCAGAAATATCAGCTTCTGCCACTCCTTGACCAGCGTGGAGGGCTCCCAGAACTCGGAGCAGAGCTTCAGCTTGGCGAGTTTCAGGTCCACGCTGCTCTGGTTGCTTTCAATGGCGCGCTCCAGGATGGCCAGCTTCTTCTCCAGGACGAGCTTCAGCGACTTCTTCCGCTTTTCCTGCTCCCCTTCCGCAATGGCATACAGGCCGGGACTCCTCATGACCTCGTCCTCAACAACAAAAACACCGATTCACAAATGCCAAGGGAACTGGGGGAGCCTCAGACTTTCCACGCTGCTCACAGGGGGACTCACAAGCTCCAAAGGGTTCCCCACCTCTCAGAATGAACTGCTGTTCAGACTTCCTTGATAACCAGTCATTTACCACAATTTCCTTTAACGGAAACTCCGTTCCCAGGATGCCTGTGTCACGGAGTATGTTGGATCTCGTGTTTGCTTCACCTCATTGACCTGTTTACTCTCTTGTCATTGTAAACTTAGACTTATGTACCAATCACCGGCATGTGACGTCTTGAAAACCTTTCCTGAACAGTCAGCTTTACCATTAAAACAACCCAATGTGGGAGCAAACATATTGGGTTGTCGGGAAAGTCATGATGCATGTTTGCATTGAAAAACATAGAAAAATACATCACGACTTTCCCGATGACCCAATAATTGTGATAGTGGTTTAAAATAAGTGAGTAAAACTAAGACAAAGCCATATAGTTTAGAAAGGGAGCACACAGCTCTAACCAGGTAAGTGAACGCGCAGCCCCTTCTCCATCGCAGTTCTGTGTGTTCTGTCCGCACTTCACAAATCTCTCCACGCCCGGTGAGCGCTGATCGCTCTGTCAAGCTTCTATTCAGAGGTCACCTTCCCTTGGAAGCCCTTTCTCTATGGCAAGTCGCTGCCAACTCCCACCCCCATATCACACATTAAAGCATTTACTGCTCCACTGCATTTATTCTTCACGCATCAGTCTTCCTCAGTGTACTCAGGGCAAGGGCTATACTCTAATTATATTCTCAGTGCCAGGGATCCTCACAGGAGCTCGGAAAGTGCTGCAGAGAACATGGGCTTGCCCAGAACGAGGGCTGTCGTGCTGAGTTAGATAAGAAATCTAGGACAACCGCCCTTACCTGAAAAGCAACAAACGCCATCCACAGCTGAACATCCCGCGGAGTCTCCCGAACCCTCCTGTTGAACTCCTCCACCTTGGCCTTGAGAAGCGCATTCTCTCGGTCTGGCTGTGAGTCTGGCTGCTTTGACTCTTGCTCCGAAGGACCCTGTCCTTGTAGCCACTGCGTGGTGGACTGATCATAAATCCCCAGGGGATTCAACCAGGTTGTAACAGGAGGAACCACATCGCCGGAGCCTGTCACTGGGATAAACGCGATTGGCTCGGATGAGGGAGGTTCGGTTTTTCTGTTAACGGCAGCTCCTTCGACCTTCATCAATCCCACGTTCTTCTTCGTGAAATAGCGCTCCACGGGCTTGTGGGAGCGTTTCTTTTCTGCGGAAGCCCCCACCCAGGATATACACTGCTTCTTAGGGTTAATGCCGAGGCAGGAGTCTCCTTTCCTCTTGTATCTTGTGTTTGAAAGAGAGAGAAAGTTACTGAGGGAATACTGTGTGCTAGCTCTGAACGACTGAAAGCTCATCAGACTTAAACTCTTGTCATGCAAGCTAACAACTGCATATATTCAAATCCCCCTTACCTTCAAACTGTTTCTATTTACAGAAATAGGAGGATTAGCAATTAACTTTTTCTGCCTGTTTGACCTATTCCTCTAACACTTTAACTCTTCGTTAATGCATCACGAATTTAAGATCACGCCTGTCTTCCAGATCTTAATAACGTATATTTTCCTGGAGCTTTGTAATTAAAGCACTGTCACATACCTTATGTCATTCGATCGTCACAATCATATGTGACAGGTAAGGCGAAAATCATCACCCCCTCTTTTAGGCTATTCCTAAATAAGGACACTGAGGCTTTAGGTGACCCTAAGCCATCTATCTCCCAAGGCAGTCCCTTTTCCTCAACAGTGTCCTGTGTCCCTACTTCAAAAAACATATAGGTCTAGGATTCTTTTTTTAATCCTGAAACAAAGTATGTCAAATAAAATTACATCTGGCTATTTTCTACTCTAGAGGAAAAGAGGCTGGGTGCTGAAATGCTTTTATGGAACATGCAGTCGTCCCCAGAGTTACAAACACATGACTACTGAATGACTACCTGCACAAAAGCTAAGGAAAACCGTGCACTTTTCTGTATGTGTATTACATAAACAACCCAATTACAAAATAGGCAAAAGATCTGAACAAGATTCACAAAAGAAGACATGAATGGCCAATAAACACATGAAAAAGTGTTCATCGTTATTAGTCACCAAGGAAATGCAAATTAAAATCACAAAGACATACACCACACAGCCACCCAAACAGCCGAAATGAAAAAGAATGACAACGCCAAATGCTGGTGAGTAGTCTGTGGACTAGCCAGGGCTCATATGTTGTTGATGGGAATATAAACTCTTACAATCACTTCGGGAAAAGGTCTGGCAGTTTTTTTTGTTTTGTTTTTTTATTGGGGATTATTGGGGAACAGTGTTTTTTTCCAGGACCCATCAGCTCCAAGTTGAGTGGTTGTTTCAATCCAGTTGTGGAGGGCGCAGCTCAGTGGCCCACGTGGGGATCGAACAGGCAACCTTGGTGTTATGAGCACTGCGCTCTAACCGAGCTACCTGGCCGCTCACTATTTCTTAAAAAAACTAAACATAGACCTACCTACCCTCTGACCCAGCAATTCTATACCTAAGTATTTACCCAAGAGAAAGGAAACCACATGTCTACACAAAGACTCGGGCACAAATGTTCTCAGCAGCTTTACTCACAACAGCCAAGCACTGGAAAGAGTCCAGGTGCCCATCAACAGAAGAATAAACAAACAGCGGTATGGCCGTACCATGGGTCCCACCAGCAGTGAAAAGGAACAAGCTACTGATAAGTGCCACCACGTGGGTGGAGCTCAGAAACATTCTGCTGAGTGAAAGAAGCCAGGCGCTCACTAAACGAGTACACGCGATGTGATTCCATTTGTGTGAAGTTCTAGAGTAGACAAAACTAACTGATGGTGGAAAAAAATTAGAACGGTAATGGCCTCTGGGGGAGGTGGAGTGTGGACTGACTGGCAAGGAGCAGGAGGAAAACTTTCTGGGGTCACAGTGATGTTCCTTATTTTCATAGAGGCCTGCGTTATCTAGATGTATGCCTTCGTCAAAATCAGCAAATGAAGATTTGTATGCTACAGTGTACGTAAACTTTAAATCAAAAGAAAAACTAAAATTTGGGGCTCTAGTTAATGATACTCATGCTGAAGTATTTAGGGGGTACTATATTGATATTGGCAATTTACTTTGAAACGCATCAAAAAATAAGATTGCGGGGGGGTGCCGGCCGAGTGGCTCTTTGGTTAAGAGCTGGCTTGGGACGCCAGTTCTGAGCAGCAGGGTCCCAGTTCAGATCCTACATGAGGGCCAGTGATGCTGC